GTAGTTTGTTTTTTCCTGGTGCACTTCTAGAAGCAATCTATAAATATATAACGACACGACAGTCATAATTTTCGCTTTTAGGAAATAGGCTCTAGCTGATGTCAATCTTTGCAATCCATGTACATATCTTTTGACAAATCAGTACTCTTTCAATTTGTGTAGCATTTCCCCATATCGTAATCGAGTAGCTAATAATTGAGTGACAATATGCAAAGTAGACGGATATAAGAGTTTTCTTGTCAATAATGGGCTTAAGCTTCAATAAAGCGTAATTAACACTGGCTAACTTTTTACAGACCTTTTCTATATGGGTATCATAACTTAAAGTGGAATCGAGAGTACACCCTAAAAATGTGACGTCACTCTTTGTGACTTTATTTGTTTTTTTGCTTGCATAATTAATAATGAAACTTTTTTCTGCATTCAAAATTATTCCGTTTGCTTCAAACCATTTTTAATCATATTTAAAATATCATTTATCTTCTTGGATACTTGGACTGCATTTTTATCTCTAACACCAACCTGTGTAAAATTAAAAGTAAAGTTACAGCCTATATACATCCCACTGCTGGGCACAGGCCTTCCCTCATTTCTAAGGGGGTTTTAGGGCAAGTGTCCGCCGCGCTGCCCCAATGCGTGTTGACGAACTTCACATGTCTTCGAAATATTTTTTTTTCTTATTCCTCAGACATGCAGGTTTCCTCACGATGTTTTCCTTCACCGCCGAGCACGTGGTAAATCAGCACTTCTAATCTTTTTTCTATCTAAAATCTTTGATATAACTGGTAATATATATATAAATAATATATAAATATTGAAATTGGTAATTACCGGTCTGTAATTACCAATTTCAATATTTTGTCCTTTTTTTAACTATGGCACAATTTTTCCTATTTTTAACTTCTTCCAATATTATATCAAAGATGTCTTTGTTGTGGATGGTAAGTTCTCTAATAGTTTTTGTTGACATATCGTATATGTCTCTAGACGTTTTACATTTTAAACTATGAATAATATTCCAAAATTCGGAATTATTTATTTTATGAAAGCGAATTTTATTATTTGTTGGGTTTTTTAAATATTCGTCTACCTTAAACTCAAAATTTTCCGTAAGTTTACTAGGTATATTGCAAAAGAACTGATTGAAACTGTTTGCTATATTTTTATTATTTGTAATTATGTCCCCACAGTGATTTTTAATTTTAGTAATTTTATTTATTCCTGATTAAAACTACTTTTACGGATTTTATTGCGTTTATTTTTACTTTTTATTTTTAATTCCCGACGTTTCGGGCGCTTTCCAGCACCCATGGTCACGGGGGACTGAGATGACTGACGTCCCGATGTCATTGTTAAACCCGGAGTACCTTCAGCTTTTTTAATTATTGTTTATGGTCCGATCTATGCAAAATGAACTGACTATGTCCTGAGGTCTTGCAGTGGTATGCTTGGGTTTAGTTTTAATTTTATTGATTATAGGATCCCAAGCAGGTGGTAGTACCCAGCCTCCTTCTCTATTGACCTCAGGACATAGTCAGTTCATTTTGCATAGATCGGACCATAAACAATAATTAAAAAAAGCTGAAGGTACTCCGGGTTTAACAATGACATCGGGACGTCAGTCATCTCAGTCCCCCGTGACCATGGGTGCTGGAAAGCGCCCGAAACGTCGGGAATTAAAAATAAAAAGTAAAAATAAACGCGATAAAATCCGTAAAAGTAGTTTTAATCATGTGCAATGTTCGCGTAAATATAAGAAATCATTATTTATTCCTTGTGTTTTAACATGATTTTTTTGTTCCTTAATAATTGTCCAAGTAGTTTTAATTTTATTCGTGGAATTTTTAATTCTAGATGCGTTCCTAAGTTTTTGGGCTGTTTGTAGCACTTTTCTATATATTCTCCTATATTTATTTAGATTGGATTTTCTAATTTTATCTGGATACAAGTTATGTAATATTTCGAGTTTTTGAAGATTATTTCTAGATAATGATTTCTTAAATTTACGCGAACACTACACATTGAATAAAAATATTATTTACGGATTTTATCGCGTTTAATTACTTTAATTTATTTTTTATTATTATCCCATCATGTGCCAAACCACCGAGGTTGTATGGGTTACCGAAGATACACAAACCAAACGCTCCACTACGTCCCATAGTGAGCCAGATCGATTCACCAACTTATAAGCTGGCACAATACTTAGCAAAAATACTATCACCACTGAGAGGACATACCAGAGCACACACAAAGGATTCGTACCATTTTGTGAGTGAGATAAAAGACCTACATCTCGCTAACAATGAAACTATGGTCAGTTTTGATGTTCAGTCACTATTTACATGCCTACCTATTGTGGACTGCATCTCAATTGTAACTAGGAAGCTAGAAGAAAATAACATGCCTCAAGAATATGCAATACTACTTGAACATTGCCTCACATCTGGCTATCTATTGTGGAAGGAGGAGTTCTACAAGCAAGTAGATGGTGTGGCGATGGGCTCACCTGTGTCTCCCATTGTCGCCGATATATTCATGGAGGACTTTGAGAAGAAAGCCCTTCTTACTGCTGCTGTAAATCCAAGGTTCTACAAGCGGTACGGAGACGACACTTTCACAATTTTACCATCTGACAAAGTAACTGCATCTTTAGACCACCTTAACTCCATAAACTCTAAAATACAATTCACAATGGAGTTAGAGACAAATAATTCTTTAGCCTTCCTAGATGTTTTAGTCATCCCAAATCCTGATAACACTATTGGTCACACTGTGTATAGGAAAAATACCCATACCAACCCATATCTAAATGGTGAATCTCACCATCATCCTTCACAGTTAGCTACCGTGGGTAAATCTTTGTTTCAGAGAGCACGAGGGATCTGTGACAGAAAACATCTGGCCGCGGAGCTTCAGCACGTCAAGCAAGTATTGCAAGACAACAAGCTTCGGGTCCCGCGCCTACGTCACAGTGAACGAGTGAAGCTGGCCACAGTTGAGCGTGCGCCTGCTCTACTACCATATGTCAGAGGAGTCACGGACAAGATTGGCTACATCTTGAAGCGAGCGTCCATTAAGACATACTACAAGCCGCTGAAGAAGATTAGTCAATTTTTACCATCCATCAAATGTAATATTCCTCTACAAGATGCAGGTGTGTACAAGCTAGATTGTGAATGTGGTCTCTCTTACATAGGTCAAACAAAGAGATCTATAAAAACCCGCGTGAAGGAACATATAGCTGATGTGAAGCACCGACGCTCCGGGAAGTCTGCAGTCTGCGAACATGTTCAAGATTGTCCCCACCGTTACATAAATTTGATAAACCACAAATTCTCGCAAAAGAACATCGATTCCTACCAAGGATGATACGCGAGGCTATTGAAATTAAAAAACATCCAAATTTCAATAGAGAAGATGGTTGGGTGCTATCATCTGCTTGGGATCCTATAATTAACAAAATTAAACCCAAACCCAAGCATACCACTGCAAGACTTCATGATACTATAAGCTCGTTTTGCGTAAATCGGACCAAAAATTAATATTAAAAAAACTGAAGGTAGCCGGACTATGACATTGGGATGTCAAACATCTCAGTCCCCCCCCCCGTGACCATGGGTTCTGTAAAGCACCCGAAACGTCATAAAATAAATTAAAGTAATTAAACGCGATAAAATCCGTAAATAATAGTTTTATTTATTCTTGTTTATCAGAATGTTCATTTTCTCATTTGCGTCAAGTTTCAAATTTATATCCTTTCTTACATATTCAAAGTCTTTACAGAACCCGTATGAAAATATTTTATATTTTCCTGAGATATTATTCTAGATCTAACCTCAGTCTTGTCCTTTGGTTTAGGATACTTAGAATTCAATTTATACTTTAATTCTATGATGTTATTGATCTGATAACGTCTAATACTTTACCCCTGTGATACTGAAAATCATCATCGTCATTTAAGATGAAATTATCAATACATGTGGAAGACTTGCCTTTGGTTCGGGTTGACTCATTTAAGACAAATTTACATTTTAATTCACTCAATAGTTTTAAAAATTTGCATACTTTATTATTTGGTTTCAATAGATTTAAATTAAAATCTCCTGCAATTACAATTCTTTTGTTTTCCCTACCTTTTTTTTTCGATAACTTTAGTCATAATATCTTCGAATATTAAATGATCATAATCAGGTCTATATACACAAACTAATTTAGATTATAATAACTAATTTAGACGATTTTACTTCAATTGCCGCTAGTATTTCTATATGCTTGGATACTGATTATAATAACGCAGTTAACGGGAACCACAGGGTTTTTGTTACATACCGTATATAAAATTCAATTTTGTTATTATTATTCATTTATTATATTGAGTTATCTTTTTATAAATAAAATCTTCAAGATTCTCGAATAAATATAACCTAGATCCCTTCTGACTGCTTTCTATCTGTTTGTAAAGTTTCCTTACAGATTAGTCCGGGCTCCGGGCAGACACACAGAAAGACGAACAGACAAAGAGACAGACTAAAAGTTAAAAATGGTTGTTTATATTATATTATGCAATAGCATGCAAATTTTCTCCGACTTTTATACAAGCCAGTTATTTTATTTTACTAACAGACTTCAATATTTATTTCTATGTGTATATATTCATAAAAACTGGCAGTGGTATCAATTAATATGTTAATAATTATTTTTTTCAATTAAAGTCAGAGCTGGTATAATTTGCCGAAAAAAAGTATCTTAAAACTCTACCTCAGTGACGAGTACACCGCGTGGCGCTTGCGTGACCACGTGCTGTAACCAACGGCAACACCCTATCACCCTAGCCTCCGGTACGTTGTGAGCGCTGAGCGCCGTCCAGCGGCTAGCGCTAAGGTTGTTTCAACAGCGGGGAGGGAGGGGGGAGGCGAAGTGACCATCGGCCGGCGCCCCACCGTTAGTGCCCGCCGCTCGCCGGTCGCCACCACCCGCACGTGCCATGTAACCACGAGATGCCGTCCGCAAACGTGCCGTTCGACGGCGACTCCTTTATAGTCGGTGGTCAGGAACCTGCGGCACCAGTACCTGATAAACCTGCCCCAAGAAGTGTGAACGTGGTACGCCCCCTGGCACGTGCGCTCCCAGTTACTGTAGATTCACGCACGGCACTGAACCCCAAGTTTTCTCGCGCGTTAGACTTTAAACTTCGCCGTTTGAAAGAAAAAGAACTTCTAGAGGCGAATCTACGTCGTCCGGTAAGATCGCGAATCGCAATGGGGGCGCTGGCTGCCTCCGATTGCAACATCTCCCATATCAGCCCGCGAGAAAGGGGCCTTCGGGATAAGTCTAGGAATCGATCTCATCCACAAATAAACTCTATTTCTTCAAGGGAGAGGACAAAAATATCACCTCGAACAGACGATAGCCCGTCGCCAAAAAGCCGGCATAAGAAGAATGACTCGGAAAAGCCAAGATTCATCACCACGGTTAAAACTGGACAGTTTCTTCTGCCGCCACCACAGCTCGCGTACCTGTTAGGCCTGCATACTCTTTATCCTCCGCAAGAGAGGGAGAAGATAGTCTACTCTTATGCGAGTAAGCCGAAGGCCGTGTCGACGCGTTCTAAACGGTCTATTCTAGAGAAAAAGGAGAATAAATTACCGAATGGAAACCTAAACGCCAATGCCTGCGGGAACCGAATCAATCATGGTGAGGCATTCCGGGGGGTTCGCGCGTTGATCGCCAGTGTGGCCGGCATGAAACATGTGCTCGAAGAACGTGACCGCGCGTATGTTCTCTTATATTTTTGCTTTATAATATATACTTAATATATCTTTCTTCTCTTATATTTTTGCTTTATAATATATACTTAATATATCTTATATAATGATTACTGTAATTATTGAATGGGAAACTCCAAAACTTACAAAATATTTACAGCGAGACCTTCTGGAAAACCCAAAGTCGAATTATATGGCAATATTTTTTTAAGTACACGATTCTAAGAGAATTATAATATTTGTGCTAAATAACTCATAAGTTACATTCTGGGCACTACCCCAATAAAACATTTGTGTTTTTAATGCAAAAAGCAGACTCGCCCAGTTGCGATATTTCTCACAATATAGAAGATATTCAACATATGCCAGCGGAATGTGTAAAATATTAAAGGAAAAGGGAGATTCTGATGAAAAAAATCATATTAATTTGGGGGAAATAGGTTGGTTTTAATTATACTTTAGGTTTTTAGTTATACTGTACCCCTCAGTGGTGGTAAAGTCAGTAATTTCTGCATTCCTACCACATTGATTCCCTCCTTCTAACTACTCATGATTATATAAAACAGGAAGAAGTTATGGTAATTACAAAGCTGACATAATAACCTTGTAGGATAAAATCCGTTTTATATAAAGAAAGATAATAACAAAAAACTTAATATCGTTACTTAGCTTTTTGTATTTTTATGTTTTTCTACAAAATGTTGTATCATACAAAGAACTAAGGAGTTCAAAACGATTTCAAAGCTAATTGTAAAAGTTCAGGTCTACGCAGAATAAGTTAGTGTGAATGAAAAAGCAAAGAGGATTGATATCGGGGTCAAGCGGCGAGTAATGACCGCCGCGGCCGCACGGCCTATTTGCCGCACACCACCCCGCCGGTCACTGCGATGTACCCTACAAGTATTCATTTACATCTAGCCTCATTAGTAATGAATCTATTTTGAACTATATACCAACATAAAATGGCAGCTCAATGTAATATAAATAAAATAGCACGCCTGAAAACTAAATATCTTAGTTTTCAGGGGTTACAACGCTTCTGCATTTTGATTCTTAATCGGGGATAGATGTAGATGTCCATAGGGCACAGCATCCACTTGGCATCAAGTGCTGTGTGCTCGTTTGTTACCCTTATTCTATAATAAAAAAAACTGTCTGTGGTATCAACATATAAGTGGTTCTGTATTCTGCGCCGACATCCTAACTCCGGACTGCTACTGAGAATTTCTTGACAAAATAACTCAATAACTTTTTACGGCCCGATCCGGGATTCGAGCCCGGGACCTAATGATCAGCGGCCGCGTTTACACCCACTAGACCAACGAGGCAGTTAAAAAAATTGGAAAAATAATATGTAGTAGGCGAAAGCATTGTTTTAGTAAGTAATTATATATACTTCATCTGGATGGGATCAAACACTATTTACTTTATTAATTTTACGTTTTTGACAGGAAAAACCTCGACGTTTTAGAGAAAAACATAGCTTCAATCACTTCTGGTACTGCGCTCTGTTTATTCGTAAAGTTTAAGTACTTACAATCAGTTCAGCCGTGGCGAAAGTAACTCCGGAAAACAGACGTACAGACAGATTGACAAACATTTTAGAAATGGCTTTATTGTTTACAAGGTTGAGCTATGCAGCTATATCGTGGGTTACAGCACGAAATGGTCGCCTCGACCGGGGATGACCACGCTCTCACAGTGTACCAATAAAATAGCAGTTTTATGCTGCTGTGCTTCGTATGATGAGTGTAGAGAACCAGAGACCTTTTTTACTGGATACGAGGCATTGTATATGTCTATGAGCCACAACATCCACTTACCATGAGTTGGACTGTGTGCTCGTTTGTCACCCACGTTCTATAAAACGTATCTTAAGGACACAAAAATAACACTATAAAGTTACATACATAAATATTTAAATTTTATTGATGTATGTAGATATCCATGTAACAATGTTTAGGCTCCACATTATTAAACATATTAAGTATGTACCATGTTTTCTTGCAAATAAATTTTCGATTTTATCTATCTATTTATGTCTCGTGTCTTTATATATATTTTTGTAAGATTCCAAAGAAAATGAGGGTTCGTTGATTAAAACTACTTTTACGGATAAAATCCGTAAAAGTAGTTTTAATCAACGAAAATGAGGGTCCAAAGAAAAGAAGACTTTTTCCAAAAAAACAATTGAATTTTCTCCAAACGCAACGTACACTTACAATAATTTCTTATATTTACGCGAACACTACACATTTAAATAATACTAAATTTAGTATTCGTATTTCAGTATTTCATGCCGGCTCACTGCCTGCAACTTTACAAGGCGCAGGTTTAGCCGCACATGAAATACTGTTCCCATCTCTGGGCCAGAGCTCCCCAGCTCCTTCCATTTGATTGCATCCAGCGCAGAGCAGTTCGAATCGTCGGTGACAGAGCTCTTTCCGATCGGCTTGACTCAGTGCCACTGCGAAGAGATGTTGCATCTCTTTGCGTATTTTATTGTATCTACCACGGGGAGTGCTCTGAGGAATGGTTCGGACTAATTCCAGCCGCACAGTTTCACCATCGCACATCGCGACAAAAGTCGCGATACCATCCATACCATCTGGATGGCTGGCGGTCCACTACTAAGAGATTTAAAAAAAGTTTTCTTCCTCGCACAACTTCCTTGCGGAATCAACTACCACCAGAGATTTTTCCGGACCGATACGACTTAGGGACCTTCAATAAAAGAGCCTATTCTTTTTTAAAAGGCCGACAACGCATCTGCAATTCCTCTTGTGTTGCAGTTGTTAATGGGCGGCGGTAATCATTTACCATCAGATGAGCCGTATGCTCGTTTTCCCCCTCTCCTATAAAAATTTTATTTAAACGTACAATTATAGTAATACATCTTACTTATTACAAACAACCGTTCAAAGAATTAAGGTAATTCTTTATTTATAACAAGTCGTCCTACTCCCACCTTACTACCCCGTTGCTCACTTTTATAGCTAATGCCGTAGATAATATCACTATCTTGTATTTTGATGAATTTTAAATTAAAAGAATGATCAGAGATTATCTTTGCTTATCCATTATATCATTTTTAATAATAAATAGTGTCAAAAATTGGTTGGGCGGCGGGCCTTAGGGTTCCCGAGCTCGATTCCCCGGTCGAGCCTTGACCCTATTACGCGAGATGTTATACTAGATGGACTGTATACGCGGGAAGCTTCTTCTGCCTCAACAAGATGGCGGATGTGGCACGCGGTTCCTTGACAATGCACTCGCTCTTCCAAAATCTATTGCTTGCCAAGGTTATGAAGGAATCCTGCTTGAGCACGTTAGGAGAAATAAAATGGGGCGGGTTAACTAACAAACAAATGCTCAAGCAGTCACTGAATTACAGGAAAAACACACTTACCGGGGTGTGACTTCGATGCGGCTGAGACGCTTCCGTTGCAGTGATGCGACGTGAGGTGGGTTCTTCTGGGGCGCCCCAGAGATGCGATCCAGGCCAGTGGTGCGAAGGAAGAGAGCGGTGCGCGACGATATCTCACACTATGTGAGGCGGTTACTTCTGGAGCGCGACAGCTCCAGGTGCAGTTCAGACTAGCGGCGCGTGGCAAGAGAGCACTCGAGGGCAGCCCGCGAGCTTATATTGTTTCGGCTTTCCCACTAATGCATCTCGGTCGGCCGCGCTTCTCATTGGTCGAAAGAATCACGCCACCTTCTAGCCTCTCCTCTTTCCCCTCTCATTGTGTTTATGGAAAGGATATTAAGTCAAAGGAAGGATAAACGCTTGGCAACATACCCTCGAATAAAATTAAAATACAAGAATCGTTTCCGCGTAACCAAAAATTTCTATATAATAATTTCTGTCAAAAACTTTTTATAAAATTAATGATACACGTTTTGATAATTATATAGACATTATATATAAAATGGAAGGTAATTTAATTTAGAATAAAATTTTATTTACAATATTCAAATTGCCCTCCCCTATTTTTGAATACATGCCCTTAATCGACGCGACCAATCATCAATCGCAGCACGCACCACAGTCATATCTATTTCTGCCGCTGCTTAGGCCAAAGATTTCTGAGAGATTCCAAGTTCTGACGAGATTTAGCGCAGATTTTCTCTTCCAAATGTTACCATATCTTATAATCCAGTGGGCCTAAATCTATATCTGACTAGAAGAGGGCCAGTCTTTATGTCCGATAAAGTCAATTCCGTGGGCGGTCAACCACTTTTGCGTGCTTCGTGCTCTATGAGCTGGTACAGAGCCTTGTTGGAATATCCAATGTCTATTTTTGAACATTGTTTGAGATAAAAGTTCCACTATGTTTATTAGAACGTTATTTTGGTACACTTTGGCACTGGTTTTTACACCTTTTTCACAGAAAAACACCTCAGTTAAGTCTGAATATGAGACTCTAAGCCAAACCATGAGTGACGAAGGATAACGTGCTCGTTGAACCCTGGGAATATGCGTGCTGGTATCTTCACTTCTGTGGGCATACACCTTATCATTTTGTTTAATATAACTTTCCACGATGTTAAAAATTTTTTCATCCGAAAACAAAATATCGTGGTATTTTTTTATTGCGTAGGCCGTAACAAAGCGCGGGATCTATCTAGCCTTACTTTTTCAAACCCTCGTTCTAAAAATGTCCGGTCTTCTTACGATAAGCTTGTAGTTTTAGGTCTTCATTGATCATCTTTTGACCGTGGTTCTGCTTAGACCCATCTGAAGAGCTAAGATTTTTTGTTTACGAACAGAATTTCGTTGGATTCGCGCCTTCACTGCTTTGATGATCGTGGGTGTCCTAACTGTACGAGGTCGGCCGGTCATCTTACGATCTTCGAAGCTTGAATCTCCAGTGAATCGTTTGTAGTGCGATAAACAAATCGTAGGATTATTTTCAATTTTTGTATAATATTGAACATCTCTTTTGGCGCGTAACCAAAGCAATGCAACACGATAACCGCTACTCTATTTTCTTTCTTCGACCACTCCATATTTGAAGATGACTGATAATTAATGTCTTTTTTATTTT